ATGACTTGAACTGACCTGAAGTGCATATAAATACTGAATTTACTTGAAATCATGAAAGTTGCACAATAAACCGAACATGGCCGTGGCGAGCGCACCGTGCGCCGCCGACGGCGTTAGGCCGTCTTACGACCGAACCTAATCCTTTCTCGGCAATTTAAACTCAACTGAACATGAAACATTATTTACTGCACAAAATAACATGAGGTGCTCGAAGGACGTGAATTTAACCTACTTGACACACACGTACGGCCCGTGGTGCGCTACATGCGCGACCACATCCCGTGGCCGAACCCCCGAGCCAAGATGAACATTCATCCAAACAATTCAAACTGAATAACCATGATAAATCATGAAACGACTAAACGCACAACAATAACTCTATTAATTCGGATCAAACACGAACATGCTCAACCTAGACTTCACGCACGGTTAACACAAACTAAACGCTAACTCATGCGTATTGTCGAACAACTAACTTAAGCATGATCTTATTAACTGGAAACATAGTAAAATCGAAGCTACCTCTTCACTCGCTTGCTGCCTTACATCAGGTACTCTCGACGTTCGGCGCTCGTGCGTGGTGCTCGCGGCGAGGTGTGCGGTGCCGTGTGCGATAGCTAGCTATGCTTGGAGGAAAGCTTTCTTAATTCTCCCTAACACTCTCACTCTATAATATATCTATATATGCTGAATAATACTTACGGGAAAGTGGGAAATTTTTCCCATTTACCACCTTTATATAGAAGAGCGGAGAGGTGATGGATAATGCATAGCCTTGTTGGACAATTCTCCTTACCACACTTGTAGGCTTAATATTAATTTGAGATGATTACTCATCACTTTATTGGCCACCTCATGCTTAAGCTTAAGGTGAAAGTTTTCCTTACACAAAGGAAAAGGGGGTACGGCTTTTGCATTAGATTGGAGGAAATATGAATAGAATGCTACGGCTTTATACTTAATTTTTTTTTTTTTTTTTGGAAAAAATAGCATATGGCCTTAAAGCTTTGAAACGTTATTAATTATTAATTAATCACTAAATTATGTTTAATTATTTAATTAAACATAATGCTTAATTACCAAAATTATTCCGAACGTAAACGAAACGCCGAAAATAATTTCGGGTAATTTCTACTGAAAATAATTAATTCCGAAAATAATAATCGACAACGTTATTATATCGGAACTGAAACATGATTTATATTACTAAACTGACGGGATATTACATACTGGGGCCAACGTCGATCCACTGCAACCGAAATGGGAGGGACCCTTCAAAATAAATCGCGTGATCTCCAATGGCACTTACTGACTCAAAAACTTGGATGGTGTTCTTCTCCAATACCCTTGGAATGCCTTTCTGAGGAAATACTTCCAGTAAAGCAAGTATCAAGGAGTTCTCATCTCGCAAATTTGATGTATAAAGAAACTCTTTTGAAGATCCATGTACAAAGTCACTTTTGTTGTTAATAAAGATTATATGATGAATCTCAGTAAGTTGTTTGATCACTGGGCCCTCGAAAAATTAGTCCTTGTTGCCAAGGCTAAACTCGTTCAAACCCTGAAGTTGGTTTGACCTAGCCAAAGCGACAAAGTCGGATACTTCCAAGCCTTGAAGATGGCTTGGGGAAGCTTATGCTCTATGACTTCAAATCCCGACGTTGATTTGATGAACTCACAATAAATATCGCTTCTGAGTCCCAGAGATCACCCAGTGATACCATCATAAAAGTTGAGTCTATCATGACTCATCTGGATTAAAGTCCATGGATGTCGGAAATACAATAAACCGATATCTTGATTACGATAAAATTTTAATAAAGATGGAGTGAAACAATAAAAGCGATAATTCGGAATGTTCTTTCGATGATCACTTCATATTCCGAGGTTCCTTAACTCCATTATTTACCTAAACCAATTCCTCATTATCCCATTAGGCAAAATAATATGTTACAAAACGATAAACTGATGGGAAGCAATAAAATTGAGATCGGAAATATGTTTTCATTCAAAATACGACAGTCATTACAAAGATAATATTTATCTCTAAACATATTTCTAAAAAGATAAATACAAATAAAGCATACGATGATCAAGGGGTCCTTTCCAGGCTTTTTTTGTTAACTCCCAAAGTCGAAGCCTCACCGGCAACCGATGTCTGGGGTCTTTCATTCTCAGTCTCAACTTCGTCCTCATCCTCTAGGTGCTCCAGCAAGCTTCGTCCCAGGCATTAAAAGGCCTCATCTTCTTTCCTCTCGATCGCTGAAAGAACGTCGTTTCTCGTTATGATGACCACATCGTCGTCTTCATGAACGATCTCATCTTCGCCGGAAGGAGCATGCCCAACCACCCATCCTTTGGCCTTGGAATCATCTTTCGCCACCTTTCGCATAGCGGAGCTGATAATATATTAGCTCGTCATCGGACAGGCCCTCGAGCACTTGGTCGACAAAGGCCTCTGCCACGATGTCCACGCAAACATCGGCCAGTATCGACTTCTTCACCTTCTTAACTTCAAGGACCATGTTGACGGAAGCTCGTCGGATGGCGGCTCTCTGTTCCTCCGACAAAGGAGCGATATTCAACTCGGGCATTTGACTCTCTCTCCGTTTGAGCAATCTCTCGGCAAATTCTCGTTCGTCCTCATCAACTGGAATATGGGTGCTTTTGATTTCTGAATCCAAGCCATACTTCTCCAGTTTTTCCAGTAAATAGATTCGCAGTTCATCTATGGAATAGATCCCACAGTGAACTCGGTCGATCAACCAACGCAAAGTTAAAGCCGCATTGAGTTCTAAGTCCCTTTCGGTAATCACAACCTCGTTATCCGGCCTCTCCTCGGACTCTTTCGTAGCCTTCTCACCAGCAACGAGACCCTCTTGAAATTTGGCCTCGGCCATAGCTGTCAGCTCCTCACGAAGCTTAGCCATCTCAGTTTGGTGGATCTCTCGACTGCGGATCAGTTCAACATCTTTCTCGGAATGATCTTTTCGAGTCGCCTGAAGTTCAAGTCTCAGCTTTTAGAGCTGCTCCTGCTGCTCCTTAACTTTATCCTCGACCTTGGACAACTGAACCGACATGATATCATGAGCTAATAGCAGATTCCTTTTCTCAGTATTCAAGGCATTGACTTCGGTCTGTGCTGCCTTCAGTTGCACGTCTTTTTTCGACATAAAAGTTGCAAACCGAGACTTGTCTTCCTCCAATGAAGCCACGGTCCCATCTCTCAAATTGAGCTCATTCTCTTTCTCCTTGAGCTCTGAGACTTTGCTCCGATAACTCTCCTCTGCGGCCACGAAGCTGACGAGTGCTCGTCCCAAGCAGCCCTTGGCATAACTGAATTTTTTATCATCAGGCAAGGAGGCGATCCCAGCATGAGTCCTCGGGTCACATGACATTAAAGGGACCTTCGCGGCTTTAACCGCCTCGTCAGGAAACCATTGATTATTGGGTAGCTTCGGCTCGTTGACAGTCTGGAACATGGAAAACCACATCTCGAAAACATCTTCCGACAGCTGTAGATCGGCAGCTTTCTTCTCATTCACTTTAAGGAATGACTGCCTCATAACTATCTCCGGCTCCTCCTCCTTGTCCTTGCTCGAGCCGATGTCTTGCTTTTTCATGGCTTGCTCTTCTTCATGGACTGAACCTCGCCTTTTGCTGCGACGACCCACTAATTTGATTGCAGGCTCTTCAGGTGCTTCCTGCGAGACCTCGATCTCGGTCGTCGGCTCATTTACCAGAATCATTTTCGATGATTGCTGCCCAGACTCCTCGGTAATAGCCGTCACAATTATCACTTAGCTCTCTGCAACTGGGTTGCTCACAATGACCGTAGTTGGTTCACCCCTAGTCACCGATGGCTCACTAGCAGAGCTTCGAGAACTGGCTGGATTCTTTTTCCGTGGCTTCAGCAGATTCATGCGTCCCGCCATTTCGGTTGATCGTAGATTTTTGCCCTTACCAACTTTGTTCTTTAAGTCAAAATTGGGGTTGTGTCTCTATACTCCTCAGCCTCCGCAGAATCTCGGAAACCAAAAAATCCAAGCAAAGGATAATAAACTGCATAACAAAAAGCTTTAAGTTGTTGTTGAGATAGTCACAATAAAGTACAGTTAAAGATCGCAAACCGAAAACCTAGGTTCTTACCCGGCTGAAACACATAATCAAGTACTCCTGGTGATAAACCCGCGAGTTCCAACCGATAATCCTTCACAAGTTGTTGATATCTTTGCTTGTTCGGAGAAAAGTCGAATAACTTATCTACTCGGTTATACAGCTCCCCTTCAAACCGAGGTTCTTTACTACCTTGTGGTTTGGCTACAAAGGTCACAAAAGGCCACCTGTTAGCGAAGACAAAAAAACAAGCAATCAATAACTTCAGATAGAAAAGAAAAAGTGAATTTAACTTACGATATGCGGATTTAATTGTCGTCGAGATAAACATCCCATTGGCTAGAAGATCAGATGAAAAATCGGTACACTGCCAATCTCTGCCGACCCATAGCCACTCTTCCTGAAAACCATGGAGGGTATCGGGGATCTCCGTTATGAGCTCACCGACTTTGACTCTCGGCTGAGGTTTACCGACAATGGAAAAAGTGAGGAGTGGGTCTGAGACCTGTCTGTCTGGGCTCTTCCGAAATGTAAACATACTCCTCATCTCACTCGCTGAAGGCAAGTCCCACTTTTTCTCGGCAAGAAGTACCAACAAACCTATGACTCGCTTCCAGGAATTCGGAGCAATTTGACATAAACTTAATTCCCAGTTCCGCAAGTATTTGGTGATTACACGTGACAAATGGAATCGCAAACCCGACCTAAGGCTTTCAGCAAACACTCTCATGCATCCCGATGGAGGGCATGTAATCCTCTCGCCCAGGTAAGGTGTGAACAGTTTCACCGATGGTGGAACCCTAATACTCGACCGTAGCATAACGACGTCTGTATCGGTCAGTATGATTGCCTCACCGTGGAAGTCTATCGCAGGATCTGGCCACCTTCTAATAGGCCGTCTCCAATACTCCAATTGATCAGTAGCATTTTCTTCCACCTTTTTTTATCTCCCTCAGTGTCGTTCAATTGAATGATCAGATGCTCGACGAACGCCGGGTCCCACCGATGGTACTCGGTGAGTAACTCCATTTCTTCAGAGTGAACCATGTTAATCATCATGACATCCAACTCGTTGTCACTCGAAGACGCCCACGACACACTCATAATTTCGCAAATTCAAGAAATATTAATCAAACAATGAAAAATTCGAAAAAGCAATTCTTACCACGAGAGAGAAGCGCAAATCCGAGCGAAGTGCTTTAAAGAATTAAATGATGAGTAAGGAGATCGCTAAAAGCAAAGAATTGAAGAGATTAATTGCAAAGGAATTGAGGGTAAATTGGTGTTAAGAGACAAGTTACTATTTATACTTTGCCCTGAAAGTGACCGTTGAGAGAAGGAAAGAGGGGCGCGTGGACTTCACCTCTCTTTTTGGCGATTAATTCCATTCGTTGGTATGTGCGCCCGTCATTAATGGCTACGTGGCCTATATAAGAAACGACTGTTACCCTGTTAGCAACGGTTGTGTTGGATTAAAGAAAGTTGCGTCGCTTCAGCTTCAAGTCTCTTCCTTGTACAAGTGTTGAGACGTCGGATCATCTTAGCAAGAAACCGACATCTTTGAATTAAGTGGATTGAAAGTTTCATGACGTTTTACAGCATCAATACCCGTTCTCAACGCTTTGGATTGTCGCCAGGAAATATCAAGTTGTTTGGTATTAGTGTTCACCCGAGGTATAGGGTGATAGTAAGAAGACCTCGGTGGAATATCTAATTTAGCTTTTTTGCTTTCACCAGTTGAAACTATAATAATCTTAGGGGGGAAACTGAAGACCTCCTTGTCGGTTGTTCCGGCCCTCTTTATATTCATACCTCGGTCATAATTGTCTTCTTCGTCCGAGGTGTCTATGGGCCTTCCTTTTCGTCGGACATCAAGGTTCCTGAATTTCTTGAGCTGAGGTTTTCCTATTAATCGAAGAAGAGCCGACAACAAACCGAGAAATTCGTCGGTATTATGTCACGGAGACTTGTGATATGCACAATAGCATGTTTTGTCAAGTTTTTCTTCAGGAGTCCTGACAGGCTTTGGATCAGGGATAATTCCTTTTCCTTTCAACTCTTCAAAGATAGTCGCGGCTCCTGCTGAATAGACGGTATGATAACCCGTTCTTACATTTTCGGCATATTAACCTCATGCAGCCCTAGGCCATAAACCACAAATGTAAAAATAAGGAAATTCAAGCATGTACACCATATAAACTCAGTTATATGGACCAAAAAGCAATACAAAGTCACAGGTTTAAAACATAACATAATACGCCACTCTTTCCTAATCTTTTATCAACTTCTAGGAACAATTTTTTTTTTTTTTTGGCCATCAACTGAGCCCAAATATCTTAGAAACTTTTGCTTTTAGCACATATAATCTCAACAAAAAACACATATGAACTAGGCTTAGCAAAATCACAACAAAATACCCAAACATACAACAAAACATGCTTATCTTTCATCACAAAGGAGCCGAAGGCATCTAACCTTTCAAATGGAACAATGAAGATAGAAACAACACATGCACTTCAAAACACATCAACAAAATAAATCTAAAACAGGCACTTCAAAACAAATCGACAAATTAACATGTAAGAGACAGAGAGGGATATACATGGGCTATTCTGGGTGCAACTGTTAACACAATCGTCTATCAATGACACCACAAAAATGAACTTGGAAGAATAATATATCAGCTGAAAATGAGAAACCTCAAACTGAAAATTATATATCCACAACACAACAAGTAAGGCTTCTAATTCCAACTGGAGAAATTAGGGCATTTACCTGAAACTGTACAACATAAGCTACCACCCGAACATCAAATGTAGTAATGCAAGTCATAGTAATCAAGCAACACAATATTAAATATCATTTGTAATGCATTAAATATCGTTTGTAATGCAAATAAATTAAACCATCTCAAATAGCACCAGGTTACCAAGAAAAAGAACTTAGCTGAAATTGACATCACCACTACATTTACACATAATCAGTAGACAAACTTGATTTTCAGTCTTGGATTTAAACTTCAAAACCGCAGGAATAAACGAGAAAAAACGAAATATCAATGCTTCCAAATTTCAGATAGTCTCATAGGAGAACAATAAAACTCAGATGCCACGTACGAATTTAAGGTCAATATGAACCTAGGGTTCGAAAACACAAGCTTTTTTTCTAATTTGGGGAATTGAAAGTTCAATTCATTGGCCAATATGAACCTAGGGTTTGAGAATCACCTTTAATTCGACAAAAATCGTGAAATACAGACTCACAAATTGAAAATCGTAATTCCGACTCACAACGGACTAAAGATCTCAACTTTGTCACAGAAAAATACCAAGTTCGATATTGAGGGAGGAAAAGCAAACCTCTTGCTGCTGGCACCGAGAATCGATAATTCTGTGGATGTCGATCGAGGTCAATTCCTGTAATTGCAGAAAGTCACCTCTTTCATTCTCTTGCATCCGTTTCTAAGATATTTGGGTTCAGTTGGTGGCAAAAAAAAAATGTTCCTAGAAGTTGATAAAAGATTAAGAAAAAGTGGCGTATTATGTTATGTTTTAAACCTGTGACTTTGTATTGCTTTCTGGTCCATATATCTGAGTTTATATGGTGTACATGTTTGAATTTCCTTATATTTACACTCGTAGTTTGTGGCCGAGGGCTGCACGAGGTCAATATGTCGAAAATGTAAGAACGGGTTATCATATCGTCTATTCAACAGGAGCAGCGACTATCTTTAAAGAGTTGAAAGGAAAAGGAATTATCCCTGATCCAAAGCCTGTCAGGACTCCTGAAGAAAAACTTGACAAAACACGCTATTGTGCATATCACAAGTCTACATGACATAATACCAACGAATGTCTCGATTTGTTGTCGGCTCTCCTTCGATTAATAGGAAAACCTCAACTCCAGAAATTCAGGAACCTTGATGTCCGACGAAAAGAAGGCCCATAGACACCTCGGACGAAGAAGACAACGATGACCGAGGTATGAATATAATGAGGGCCCGAACAACCGACAAGGAAGTCTTTACTTTCTCCCCCAAGATTTTTGGAGTTTCAACTGGTGAAAGCAAAAAAGCTAAATTAGATATTCCACCGAGGTCTTCTTACGATCACCCTATACCTCGGGTGAACACTAATACCAAACAACTTGATATTTCCTGGCGACAAGCCAAAGCGTACGCCCTAGAAGCACAAAATCCCAGGAAGCACGTATTGAGTGTCGATCTTAGGGATACTATTAATAATCGGAACTGTCCCATCACTTTCAACATAGAAGATGCTAACTTGTTCGCTCATCTGTACTCGGATGCTCTTATCATCACCGCCCCAATCGGAGGAATTCCTGTTCACCAAATTATGGTTGACACCGGGGCCCTATTCAAGAATTCTCATGTTGCGAACCTTTAAGAAAATGAGGTTGGACCCGGCTGACATCCGACCCTGCAATGATCAGATTCAAGGCTTTAATGGGAGTATTTCTTGTCCCATCGGTGGAATACAACTTTCTATTAAGTTTGGAGGTTTTGGACCGAAATCGAAGATCATCATGGAGACATTTAAAGTTATGGATATTCAGAATGAGTACAATGCTATTGTGGGCCGCACTACTCTCTATAAACTCCGAGTTGCCATTTCAATTTCTCATTATGCATTGAAGTTCCCTACGGTTGAGGGAGAAGGAACCCATTATCGGGATCAACGAGAAGCGCGTAACTTAGCTCTCACATTGGCTTCGTGCGATGCTCACATGGTTGAACCCGAACAACGTAGCAATCATAATCAATTGGATGCTCCGGATTCCACATTGTCAGATACTGACGTGATGGTTTCCTTTGTGCCGGATACCGATGTCCTCCCAGCGAAAGAGTTGAAGATCCAGTGCCATGTCCCGGCAAAGAGATTGTTCAAGCCCAAGATGATTTGGACCCAAGGCTACAATTTAAAGAAAAAAGTCAATATATCCAGGAAGAACCTATTAAGGATGTCGAGATTATCTTCTTAGATGGATTGGTTCGTGAAAAACCTCTTCGTATTGGTGCTAACCTTCGAGAGCCAGTACGTACTCAGTTAATCCAATTCCTTCAATCGAACCCCGATGTGTTCGCATGGAGATATGAAGATATGAAAGGGATTGATCCACAGAAAGCTTGTCATCGACTCAACCTCGATAAAACCGTTGAACCTGTCATACAAAAACGTCAAAAG